GACAGTAGTGAAGCTTAATTTCGATGGAAGCGCTCTAGCAGGGAAAATGAAATAGCTGGATGCGGAGGACTGCTAAGGGATCATGAAGGCAAGGTAATCTTTTTCTATTCGATTCCCCCATGCTGTCTTGTAGCAGCAGAAGTAGAATTATGGGCTCTAAACCATGGTACCAGCTGCTTGCAGGAAGAACTGATGTAGAGAAGAAAAAAGAAAAATTATTATTATTATTATTAGTATTATTATTATTACTATTACTATTACTATTACTATTACTATTCTTATTACTATTCTTATTACTATTACTATTATTATTACTATTATTATTATTATTATTATTATTATTATTATTATTATTATTATTATTATTATTATTATTATTATTATTATGAGTTTATCTCTTCAAGAATAAGAGGTGCGCAGATGGGCATGAGTTTGAGTTTATTTTGTGCCCGAATTGATATTGATCAATTGGGTAGGTTAGTTTGAAGAATATAGATATGATAAGGTTAAATCTAGAGGGTTTATCTTTTCAACAATAACCAATGTTGGGGAGGCTTTGGGTAAAACTATGCTAACTATTTTAGAAACAAATCTTTGGCACGTGAAGTTAAAAAAGAGAAATAGGGATGAGAGAAAATAGGTTAAGAGAGAAAATAAGGATGAGAGATAAAGTAGGAAAAATATTTTTTTTATTTAGTTATTGTTTATCTTTCTTTTAGTCTATTTAAAGGGAAATCTCGCTTCATTGTAAATCAGTGAATGACTTGAATAGAATTTGGTCTCGTGCAGAGAATGTTTTTAGGGTGGATTCCCTTGCAGTACTTTGAGAGATGATATATTCTCTCAACCTTGCTTTTTTTTATTGTTATTATTCTCGTGTTATTTTTTTCCTGCATCAATTGGTATCAAAGCAAGTTAGATCTGAGTAAGTTAGATCTATAGAGAGCAAGTTAGATCTACAGAGAGCAAGTTAGATCAAGAGAGATCTGATTGTTTACAATGCCACCAAAGGCTAATTAAGTTTATCTTGTTGCTTCTAATCAAGCTAATCCTGCTCCTGCTATGGATGATCGCTGAGGACATGCTATAAAAATTTTGACTAAAGCCGTAAAGGATGTTCGGACTGAAGTACGTGAGATGAATCAGGAGATGCAACGATTGGATCAGAAGTTGTTGCGGTTGGAGAACAATAGTCCTCGTGAAGAACAAGGGATGCAACAGTTGGATCAGAGGTTGCAGCGGTTGGAGAACAATCTTCCTCGTGAAGAAGGTACTCACAACCACATTAATTTGGCATCAGTAACTCCAGGACAAACCTAGGGTATTGATTTCGAGCGTAACGAAGATTACAGGTCAGATCTGCATCCTATAAAGTGACCACATGATTTTGGTATTAAAGTCGATCTTCTAAAATTTCATGGTAAGCTCCTCAATGAAGGTTTTATTGATTGGTTGAGTGCAATTGAGAGTTATTTTGAATGGAGTGAATTGCCAGAGGAACGCAAGGTTAAACATGTTGCTACCAAGCTCCGCGGGTATTATGCGGCCTGGTGGGAGCAAGTTCAACAATCTCGACTTCGTAGTGGGAAGAAAAAAAATAATGACTGACAAAAGATGAAAAATAAATTGAAATAAAATTTTCTTCTTGCGGATCATGAACAAATTTTCTTTCAAGAACTCCAAAATCTTCGACAAAATGAAAAAATAAAAAATAAAAATTATACTGAAAAGTTTTATCGATTAGTTGCTCGAAACAACCCCAAGAGACGGAAGGACGAAAGATTGCTCGATATGTAAATGGCCTTCAACCTACCATTAGGAATGACGTTTTTCTACATTGACCATGGACATTAAGTGGAGCTTTTCAATTTGTAAACAATTTTACACTCAAAATGAGGTTTTACGCCAACCAAGATTTAATGAAGAAAAAAAAAATATTGCAAAGTTTATGTGTTATCGATACAACGAATCAGGACATTGTGCGTTTGAATGCTCAAGAAAAAAGATGGAGGTACAATTAACTAAGGAAGAGGAAGAAGTTTCAGAAGATCAAATTTAAGAAATAGTACTCCATGGTGATGAAGAATGAGATCCACTTTGAATCAAGCTCGAGGTTGAGCTACTCCCAACCTCGGGAGAATGATACAGAGAGAGAAAATAAAAATAATAAAAAAATAATAAAAAATAATATATATATATAGTTTATCTCTTCAAGAATAGGAGGTACGCAGGGATAGTTATGTGGGCATGAGTTTGAGTTTATTTTGTGTGTGAATTGATATTTGATCAATTGGATTGGTTAGTTTGAGGAATATAAATAGATATATATATATATATATAGTTTATCTCTTCAAGAATAGGAGGTGCGCAGGGATAGTTATGTGGGCATGAGTTTGAGTTTGGATAATTATGTAGGCATGAGTTTGAGTTTATTTTGTGTGTGAATTGATATTTGATCAATTGCATTGGTTAGTTTGAGGAATATAAATAGTAAGGTTAAATCTAAAGGGTTTATCTTTTCAACAATAACCAAAGTTGTGGAGGCTTTAGGTAAAACGTGGGCTAACTATTTTAGAAGCACATCTTTGGCATGTAAAGTTAAGAAAGAGAAAATAGGGATGAGAGAAAATAGATTAAGAGAGAAAATACGGAGAACAGATAAAGTAGGAAAAGTCCGTCTAGAGAGAGTTTTTTGTTTAGTTATTGTTTATCTTTTTTTTAGACTGTTTAAAGATAAATCTCCCTTCATTGTAAATGAGTGAAGGAGTTGAATAGAATTTGGTCTCGTGAAGACATTGTTTTTTGAGTGGATTCTCTTATTGTTTTTTGGGTATATTCGAGAGAAGGTATAATCTTTGATATATTCTCTCAACCTTTTTCTTTTTGTTGTTACTATTGGCGTGTTATTTTCTCCCTGCACCAAGAACATAAAAGAGTTGTCCTTGAAGGGTACTCGTTAAACGTCATTATGCGCTGTAAAGACCGCCAAAAACCCCCTTGGATACTGCAGCAGATCATGTACGAGATAGGACATCAATTAGGACCGCAAGAGGTTCAATTTCAACACATTTACAGCGAAAGGATTAATATGGCTGATGAGCTTGCCAAAGCTGCATCGCTAATGCCGATCTAAGAGGCGACCTCCTCCTGCTGCCATAAGCGATCTTGTGCTCCTCAACTTTGTCTTTTTTGTTTGCTCTTCTTTTGCTTCTACATCTCCCTTGTTGTACAAGGTTTAAATAGTGATAAATTATTTTCAGAAAAAAGGAAAATTATAGATACTTCCAAAATGAACTTTGTAAACATCTTCCCCTAATAATATTTTTAGTATCACCCCTTAAACCTTATACTATTTTATTTTATTTTGTATTTAACCTCCAATCAAGAAATCAATAAAATTGGGACGAAAATGTATTTATTATCTCTCTACCCACCTTCTCGGTCTCTCTTTCTGTCTCTACCTACCCTCCCTCCTCTCTACCCATCTCTTTCCACCCCCTTCTCTCATTCTACCTTCCTTCTCACTCTACCCCCCTCTTTCTACCTGCTCTCTACCCCTCTCACTCTACCCCGCCCTCTCTCAATCTCTCTTTCTCTCTCTATCTGCCCTGTCCCTCTACCCCATCAATTATCACTTGCTTTGTGAGTCAAAGAAGACGATGAAACCTGTGATCATATGTTTCATAACTGCACATTACTACGAGTTTGTGGGGCTGAGCGATGTGAGACTCCAATTTGCATCAGAAAAGTTCTAATTTGACTGCCACAAGTTGTGACCAACATCTACCACAATCAAAACACACAACCCATCACAATGTCATACATCCGACAAAAAGGACCAAAAAACTAAAATACAAAGGGCTGAGAGAGAGAGAGAGAGAGAGAGAGGGGTCAAAGTTAAATCTTAGGTCAAGGTTAAATCTTAGGCAAAGAAACACATGAAGGGCAGTGCCAAACTTTAACGAGCAGGAATTACACATTATTCAGGATGAAAAGTCTCTTTTTCCTCTTGGTTGGATCCATGTAAGTTTTGGAATGAGTTAATGCTTGATCCTTCACTGGAATACCAATGAAGTGCACACTTTCTCTCTGAATTTAGTCTCCTGATATATATCCATTTTCAGAAGTAGATTATTTCAGCAGAGTTTGGGGGCTTTTCAGTAGACAGAGTGAGTTTGGGGGTTTCAGTAGAGAGAGAGCGAAAAGTTTTGTGAGATTGGGTAGAGGAAGAGAGCTTGGGCAAAGAGGGAGAGAGAGTTCAGGCATAGAGGGAGAGATGAGATGCTCTAATGACATGTGACTACAAAACATAAGGGAAGAGAGGAAAAAGGTATTTTAGTCTTAAACTTTTTGACTTGAAAGGTAAATGCAAGGAAAAACAATGCTCGATTTAAAATGTAAGAGTAAATACAAGAAAAAATAGTGCTAGATTACGATATGATACCAAAAGTATTGGAAATATGATGTCTACAAAACTGATTTAAAGGGTATCTATAATTTTCCCTAAAAAGGAAAAAAAAGATTTACATTTGTGCTTATTGAATTTAATGGAATGGACTTGCATTTGCATGTCGGGTTTAATGTTGCATTAGAAAATTGGGATGTGAATGCATGGTGTTAATGAGAATTGCGGTAACTATTTAAGGGTACAAGTAAAAGATTTATTATTCCTTGAGTAAACCTAGCATTGCATATGTTTGACAAATTCCTTGGATCCTTAATTGTAGGCTTGAAATTAATTTCTCTAAAAGACCAAAAAATCTGCTATAATTAGGACCAACACACATATATGTACGTACTGAAATATATACATGTAGTACGACTTAAAAGAAAAAGATCCTATGCGGTCATTGCTCGCATAGACTTTAGCCACCCACCGATGAACTTAGTTGGACGGTGGTGATTGAGTTGGCACGTGGGCAATGCCGCACGCTAACCGCGTCCTTACTTAAATGAGTCTCCAAGGCCGGTAGGAATAACACAAGTACGTGCTAGAGCAATACAGAAAATAATCATGTCGTATAATCAGCCAAAGAATTTCCTCAAAATATTCTACACAGCTTGTCCATATGTTACATTACAAAATTACCTGTCTTACATGTATTATCATGTAGGTTCCAGAAACTTAAATCAAATTATATTGCAATAAATGTTAAACGGAGGGTTAATCTCTGGAAGCGAATGCAAAAAAAACTCAAAAATGACGAGCAGATGGCTGATTTTGAAGCAAAGAATAAATCAATCACTTGAGAGAAAGTGATTTAATTACTTCAGGAAAGTGATTTAATTACTTCAGGAAAGTGATTTAGACAAGGAAGTTATCTATCATGTGCCAAATCACATCAGCACCATCTGAGTTCATCCAGTATGTTTTTACCTGGTATCAAAAAACAATAGACAGCGAGAAAGAGCAAGTGTTAGCTTTACAGATATCAGGTCATGAAAATAAAAGCCAGCCCGAACAAACTAATTCGTATGCGCAGGTATATGATGCGTGGTGTTAATATCAAATAATGTCTATTTTGGAGAAACCCATATAATTGCCATACAAATTGCAATGAATATTACACGAGAAAAGGAATATCAGTTTGTTTCCAGGCATATGTGAATATTATCAATTATAAGAAACATTTCCCACTCTCCCCTAAAGACTATTCATATTGAAAAATATTTTAAACATCACAATCCATTTGGATCCTTGAAAATCGATTTCCAAGATATCATTCCTTAGAAATGAGGCAACTCCAATGATTTTCAATGATTCACGCTCAAATTGGGGGATTAATCAACCATCCCTGTTTTCACCTCTTTTTTTGGAAAATAATCTTCCGATTAAATAGATATAACTTTACTCTGAAAATGATTCTTCTACCCGAATCATCTCTCTCCCCTGCGATACCATCCTCTCTCTCCCCAACCAACTGTCAATCATCTCTCTCCTTGGAATTTCCTTATTTTTTCCCGAGAGCCAAATGGGCCTAGGTGTCTTCCTCTCGCAATAAGAATTTGATAATTATTACAGAATAAGCTTTGGAAGAAAACAGTGATGATCTTCCATGTCTAACTCTCTCTATATTAAACAGAGTTGAGTTCCTGGGAAGGTAAAACTAAGCTACTACAATATATTCTTGTGTATGGCAGCCACCCCTGTCATCACCGCATTAGATAGATATAACAAAGGCTTTCTAGTTTTTGTGCCTCTCTCCATATACAGCGGTAGTAATGAACCGTGGCAACTGTTTTTTTTTTTTTGAAAGAACCTCGGCAACTTGTCCACCATTTCAAAGATTAAATGGGTTCATGAGAAACTTTTTTTAACTTTGAACATCAGGATATCCGTAGGATTCATAGCCTCATGAAAAAAGTAGGTCAGACTTAGAAATCGCCACGGGAAAGAAACACAGTTGTGTATAATATTCACTAAAACAATAGATGAACATATCAGGATATATTCATGATCTTTCAAAGACATAATAAACTCAGCGTTATGCGAAAAATTGCTGTACCATTTACAATGAACTAAAGTGATTGAATAAATATGCTGGAATTCAATAATCGTACTTGCAAGCTTAGTACTTGATCAACGTTTGGAAGGAATGAATTCTGAAAACTCAAGCTTACAATTTGTTTCTACTGAGAACCAAGAGGAAACCACCCCATTCAAATCAAAGTGAACACAAAGAACTAAGATTCAAGAATTCTTGCCTGACTGGTACTATGTGCGATAAACCTTTGTCTACTTTTGCGGAAACTGACATCAATCCTTTCCCAAGACACTTCACTGAGAGCTGTGATCATTGCTTCTGCAAATTTAAATGGGAGAAATAGAAGGACAAGACATTTTATAGAACCAAGACTAGTTAATGATTCAGCTCATACAAAATCATAGTGCCATAAGTTTCGGATGCGCTCTCTAGAAACAGTCACAACTGAATGCCTACATCAATGAAAATATACTTTAACCGGTTATATCTCTGAACAAACTGTTAGGTTATAAAAACTATTTTTCCTGTAGCTAATTAAATAAGAGAGTGGGATCCCACCTATTTGAGACACAGAACGTCTTATCTAAGGGAAACCACCAGGAACTCTATCTAGCCCTTTTTTGTTATGGTTATCCCAATATATTCTACTTCTCTCTTCTTTCTCACCTTATGGAGAGCTCCTTTTTCCCTGTGCCCTTGTCCCCCTAGAGTCCGTTCTTTTTCAGTGGTTTGGTCGATTTTTTCTATATCATAATCATATATAGCCATACTACTTTTGTTTCACTGAATGATTTGCATGAGGATCTTGTAATACACGGAATACTGCACCAAACATTGAATGTTACCTAATTTTCAAAATACACAGATATTACGCTTGTTAAATTCTACATCTAATTAGATCCTTTAAGGAATATGCAATGTTGGTAGTCTGATTGAAACTTGAAAATTTGACCATCGAATCAGAAAGATGATCTTACTAGTTCAGCAATTCACTCCTGAGGAAACGAAATTTCTAAGTTTACATGGTTTGTTAGCTTGCTCTGTTATATTGGAACTTGCATGTATGGGCTCGGATTTACATGGATAGTCAAATCCCAGACCTTCAAACTAAAAGGGAAGTATGATATATTTTCGCCACTTGCATAGGACAAACAATTTTACGATCCAAGTTAACAAGTTCACGATCCAAGTTAAATTAGTTTATGATCCAAGTTTGAATAATTTGATAGTTAATATAGACATCACACTTGAACTTGTCTCCATAAACTTGGAGCCTCAGGCTGAAATTTACCAATATACATTGGGAGGAAGGGCTGATGTTTTCTGTGATAATTCCATTTCCTTGTGTTTTAATGTGGAAATAAATCAGGACTGAAAGAGGTATATAGCTCAGCTACTAGAAGCATCTAGTGGACGTAGTTGAGGGGATAATTTTCAAATAGTTTTCCAGTGAAAGGCCCCATAAACATTAGTTTGTGAAAGAAATTCGTGAACAGTAGGAGCCTCTCACTGAAAGGGGCACGCCATTTATGTCATAGATCACCACTAGATCCTTGATAAGAACTCCCAGATCTAAGAGAAGTCAAATGTTTTCAACAGTAACCAATGCCATAACTGATTATTTGCTTGATATGAATTATTGTAGTCTATATTAACAGTCAATGATTAGATGGAAATTTGGTAAACAGACAATGGAGAGCAGTAAGTGTGTTTTTATGATAATGTCCATTTGAGTGTTTCTTTTTGCTTTTGTTGATAAACAGCATCCAATGATTTTATAGAAAAAGGAATATTCAATCTTGGAAACAAAAGGTCAATAAATTCATCTGATTTATCTCTTGTTAACATGTATACCAACACGTGGAAAATATAGAGTAGCTAAAAGAAGATACTTTGTCATATTTTGAACTGAACTCATATATAGATCACCATTGAACAACTCTAGAAGATGTATATGATAGATGCCACCATATCATTTTATAAAAATCTCTACAGAACTAGATGGACAAAATGAGATTGCATAAAAATAATCAATTATAGCAGCAGTATGGTCATAGGAGTCATCATCGTCCCACCAATAAGTTATAAGGTAATGAAGGGAATGGGTCCCAACAAACAGGTCATTCACATAAGGTGATTAAGGAATGGATCCCACCAAACAGTTCCTTCACACTGCTCTAAAGTCCTCTCTTCCTTCACCACCATCAAAGCTATTGATAGGACAGTGGTAACCCCTATGGACATTCCTTAATCCTTCATCAAGTGGATCATCTATTGTACTCCCACTTATAATAGTAACATAAAGAGCAGTTACTGTCTCTTCTGTAATCAGGAAAATATACACTATAATTACCCAAAGTCAAATGATAGAGATGTTGGTAGCATCTACAAAACCTAGTGTAAATAAAGGAACATTAACTGTCAATTCATTCTTCCTATATTGAAAGTTCTCCAAAGTTTGAAACCCATTATTAAAACAAAGTGAATTCTAAATATAGTGTAATGAATATAGAATGGAAATCACTTCAACCATAGTTAAGAGAATATTCCATCCTTGGGGTGATTGATCAAGCATTGGTGCAACATGAGAACATCGTGAGGTACATCTGAGAAATACTAAAATGGTTGTACAGTTTGAACGATCAACTCTGCTAGATATTTTCCACAGAACTAATGAATTCTTATTTTCAACATCCACTAAGAACATTAAAGTAATAGGATTGTCTACAAAGCGACCATTTATCTTTTGGACATGGAGGTCACAATCATTCTCACTCATTAGATGTCTGAGAATTTTTGTTTTGGAACTTTGTGTCTATTCAATGACACTCTTACAACCACCCATTTTGAAATTTAAGGGACAAGATTGTGACCTTCATGTACAAAAGATAAAATCTTCTCTTCATAGACAATCCCTAAAGTAATTGCTTGCCTTTCATTCAAATGACATTGTGAACACAATGGGAAAACTGGACTGCATTATTTTTTAGCATTATAGCTTAACGGTAATATTGTAAGATTATAATGCAAGAAATTATATTGGAAGGGAAACCAGTTCCATCACATATGGTGATAAACCAACCTTCGAAATCCACATTGTTGTCTTTAGACTCCAACACTGCTTGATGGCCTTTCTCAGTCTTTGCTGTTTCAACATTCACAATGTGTGGATATTTCTCATTCTTAAAAAGAAGTTTCTGGAATGAAAGTGTTAAGAAGATGAGCATTAGAAGAAAGTAATAACAAAAGCAGAGAATGATCTAGCTTAACCTGGAATCAGAAAACTGATTTGATTAGTTAGTGCTTCCCAGATTTAAATCCCGTGCTCACATCCCAAAAAACACACATACATGCAATGCATGCATACGTATATGCATACATGCATGCAATGCATACAAACAATGTAAATAAAGATATGTGTGTGTGCACCTTTTTGCGTGTGTGTATATACATATATACACCATACTAATGGTGAACTTATAATTTCCTACTCTAAAAGTTTTGACAAAAAAATGCCCTTACTATTATAAAATTTATGTTAACAAAAGCTTGTTTGAAAATTTCGAGAAGTCCATATTTGTAACTATAAATAGCTTTAAAGATCCACTCTTCATTCAAAAAATCAAAGGAATCTTTTTAAATTTGAAATTGAGTTTTGGAGGGATCTTAAGATGACAAAAATACCATTCCTAAATTACATGAAATATTTATAGTCAAAAGTCATTTTTGCACACATAAGGCCAATTTATATATATATATATATATATATACGTGTGTGTGTGTGTGCACGTGCGCACGCTCACACAAGTATGTGTGCACGTGTATGTGTGGGTACGCATGTCAACGCGTGTGTGCGTGCGGGTTTGTGCATGTGTGCAGTTCTGTCTCTACGTGTGTGTGTGTGTGTGCATGTGCAGATTTGTGCATGCGTGCGGTTGTGTCTCTACGTGTGTGTGTGTGTGTGTCTGTCTATGTGTTTGTGCCTGTGTTGTTGAAGTAGTACCAGGGACACCACTCAAGTTGTACAACTTAAAAAATTTTCATTCATTTGCCCAAAAGGGTTTACAATACCACTGGGAAATCCCTACAATGACATAAGAAAGGCAAAAACTTCAAATACAAGACACTTTCCAACTTACATTGATGAGCCTTGCTCAGTTACAACACCTTCAACTTATAATACACTGAGCCAAAATAACACTAATCAAGTAAACCAAATGTGCACGAGTTTGATAAAGCTTTGGAAGCCGATTTAATCAAAAAGTACTGTGGATTACCACCACGGATTTCATACAACCCTTGTTATTGTTCCCACAGGTAGCAGAAGAAGGATGACTCTATTTAATCTTGGGAAGCATGCATCCAAAAACAAAATGCCACACTTATGGATGCCAATCACATGATCCATCACACAAATCTTGGGCCGAAAATGAACCTCAATGTGGGAAATCAATGAGAGCAATACAGTGGGCGAAAACTGGCTAAAACCGGACACAAATGGTGTAGTTTTGATACAAGGGTGTGCTATGGCCTTCTACCAACAAACGGGTATGGGAGAGTGCAACTTACGGCCCAAAATAACATTCACTGTTATGGCCTGAGAAAATAAAATTACAGCAAGTAAACGGTAGGAAAACAATCCAAACTTACACTAAATGACATGCCATAGCAACCATAAATGCAAGGGACATCATAACACAAGATGGGAACAAGAGGGCACCGACTAAACTTTAAAACACAGCTTGGGCTTATTGTTATGGATGAAAGGGGCTCAGATTTACAGCAACATAAAGCTCATAATAGTTTGGAGAAATCATGCTCAAAACCACACAATACAATTATACAATGTAGGACCTTATGTGCTATGAATAATAGACTTAAAAAGGAAGAAAAGGGAGATGAGTTTTGCATACTGTTGTATGCATTTACAGCAGTTTCCAGACTCCCTAATAAGGATGCATCAACATTGGGAGGTGTGATGGTCCTCAAGCTAAGCATTCATGATGGGAGAGAAACTACACATACTTTCTCTCATTAAATGGGTGTAAATGCTCATGGAACAAGATGAAGAATAAGAGTGGGGCAGGACTCTCTAAGGCAACCTCATAAAAAAAGTGTGATGGGAGAAGAAGTGTTAATGAGGTAGGGTAGGATTCCCTTTTATAGGAGGTTCAAGTGTGGACTTCATCTTAGATTAAATGTAGGCCATCCAATGAATAATCCAAGGGTTGAAAGAGGCTAAAGACTTAGCCTTCATCCATCGCCATACATTGCTACTACTGAATGGTGTGGATCAAAAATGCCTTTATCACCATGCCCAAATAGCACCTCAAAATTTCCCATAATAATACCACAAGTGCCCATAACACAAAATTTGATTTTGAAACAAATCGCCATTCATTTTAAAAACATTTGATCTCATTCATCCACTTCAAAAATCATACAAGATCAAGTGAGAGGGGCGTGCCTCTCTCCCCTCTCATCTCTCTTGTTCATAACTTGGTTCCCACTCCAAGTAACAAGAGAAGTCACTTTCAAAGGGGACAACCACTCATCACATGGCATAAGTTGTCCCTCTTTATCCTTCTCCCACCAATCACAAAGCAACACCCATAAAAATCCTTTCGACTCCCACATCGCATAATTTCTAAATTAAATATTTTTGGAAATTCAAAGTCCCACACACAAAAGTGCATATGCATACATTCCTCACACATGTGATCTACACATGTGACAAAATATTACACATCATGATTATGTGCACTAACTAAACAAGACATTCACATCAAAAGATCCTAGGGCTATCCACATTGGGCAATGATGTGGCAGTCTAGTGGTTGCACGTGTGGCACACATTGGCCATTTGTGTGCCACATTGGCCATTTGTGTTCTGTGGATTACAGGTGCCCCCGAGGACATGCACTCTAGCAGATGTGGGGGTCCTCGGATCATACCTCATCAGAACAGCTTCCCATGTGCAACTTTCTTGTGCACATGCTGTAAGCAAACTACACACATCAAGGATTTGGTATGTCCTCTCAAAGCCCAGTTTACTCATAGAGGGCTTCTCACACACACATAAAACATCTCAAACGAACCGGGATCCACTGATCCCCAAGCCCTGACTCACACGACATGAGGCGCTCACACACACACACACTGACCTTGACTAGAGGAAACCCTCAAACCTCTCAGTTTATAACACGGCCCAAGAACCTCGCCTCATGTAATCGGGGTTATTTAGGCCTATCGAGATCCCAGTTTGCAAATATTTCGGTTGCCTCAGTGTACCTAGTCACTCCCACTGTGACCTAGAACCATGCTAGCAAAATACAAGTCCTGAAAAGGCCATAATTCCAACATTCTCCCACTTGGCCTTTTGAGGCCTAGGAATAAGCAAACACGAGAAACACTATGCTCCTTTGATTCATAAGCTAGTAATATCATGCTCTCAATATTGACATATGAGCAACACTATGCTCCTAAATAATACTATGCTCCTGAGGCAACACTATGCCCTCAGGCAACACTATGGTCTTCACATTCACATGGATATCCATATAAACAAGTAGATGCTCATACAAATGCTCCATATCTCATAAACTCTCCCAATAATCATGCACTCTCAATCCCATGCCAGATGCCAATTAAAAACACCGGGTATCATTCCTCTCGTCATGGGGTCCGCATGCATAGCCGTAGGAATATAAGCCAAAATCACCTCACCATCTACAATATCCTTTCGGATATGATAGAGTACAACACTAATGTGATGTGTTTATATTTTCCATGAAAGCCCAGCTCTTTTGCCACTGCAATTGTTGCCTAATTATCATACCTAATTTCGATGGTTCCATATGCCAATGACCCCATATCTGAGATGGTTGAGAAATTTCTTGATCAACATAGCCTCCTTATTAGCCAAGCAGGCTGCCACATATTACGATTGTTAGATATTTGTGGCCATTAAAGTCCTTATGAGAGCATGTAATCGATAATTGATATAGTGGAACAATGGACTCCAGTGGGAGTATGGTCCAATGCGACCAAGATTGGCAAATAAAGTTTGCTGAGACTCATACTAGGCTTAATGAGCTAAGTAAGTCGTGTTATAAAACCCTAAATACTTGGGCATAAAGCATAACTGATAAGGGTTAGCAAGGTTATCCCTTTATAAGGTCGAAAATTATCCAAGATAGTGAGCCAAGGGACTGTGTGACCCTTGTGTGTGATGGTAGGCCATTAGGGACAAGGGCCAAAGCCTCATCTTGAACCATCACACGGCATGTACATATGATAGCCGTATCACCATTGACTGGTTCTGTGTGACCTTGGACTTCTTCCTAAGGGAGAACATGTAATCTATAGACTGGGATTGTGTCCCCTCACCTATCGGCAAACTTTGGTAGCCCAATCATGAATCCCTGCGAAGGCCTATGGGTCATGGGAACTGCCGGGTCAGTTTGAGAAAGTGAGTGTGGATTACAATCCTTAATAGATGATGAAATGTTTCAGATCCCATCAAAATATTTTAGAATTAATTATTTTGGTCTTAAATGACTTTTAGATTGATAGTTTGAATTTTTAAAAGTCTATGGACATTTTATTTTCTCAAATGGATTTATAAATGAAGAGAAACTGAATTTTGAATATTTTAATATTCAAAGAGAAAAATAAAGTAAGTCCTTTTCTAAAAATCATTTTTATTATTTTAAAATTATTATTAGACATGTGGGGGCCATTACACTTCATGGGCCCCACTAAATTAGAATTTGTGGGTGGTGTGTGGGACCCACTAGTCGCCCCATGAGCACATATATCTTCTTTCATATTTTTGTAGCCTTGTCAATCAAGGCATTCAATTAAGTTGAAACAATAGGAAGGTTTTGAAAATTAAGAGATATGATTTTCAATTAAAGCATGTGTAAGACGATTATGGGAAAGAAAGGCAAGTACTATTATATTTTTCATATTTTATTTATTTGATGGGATTAAGTTAAGGAAGCTGAAGGATAAGGTTCTAACAGCTTCCTTTGAATCATGATGGTTGATCTAAGATTGTATGGTTAAGATCTCTCACCCTACAGGTCTCCTTTGAACAATGGTCTGGATCTATTCTCTATAAGGATGGCTAATTCTAAGAAATCCTAACCCTAGAGAAAATATATAAATAGGCACCGTAGGGGTCCTAATTCTCTACACCTTGAGCTTTCTCTTTCTCCCTCACAAGGTGGCCTGCTACTCTCTCATCTCTCTCTAAGATCTCTCATCTCTCTCTTGCCTCCATTAGAAAATTTAAGTAAGAGAAATAGAGGGCACGCCACAATTAATTGGGAAAAGGCTATGATGATGATGATGAAATAGAGGGCAAGCCCCAAGCTTTGTAAAAGAGGGGGCACGCCCCAAGCATAGTGCCAAGGGTAGGTTAGCACATTAGGTATTGAGACCTAGGGTATTATACTACGTATTGAGACCTAGGTTATTATATTAGGTATTGAGACCTAGCCTACCATACTAGGTATTGAAACCTAGACTACTATAGTAGTTATTGAGACCTAGCCTTATCATACTAAGTATTGAGACCTAGTATACCATGCTTAGGCATTGAGGCCTAGACTTGTGATTGTTCTACTATTGCTCTCTGATTTGAAAGGGTTGATATCTTGAGGTTTCCCATACTTTAAAGATCTGAGAAAGACCTTGATTCCATGTGCCATCGAAGGAGGAGACCCGGAGTGGGGTGTACAAAGTGTCAGACCACCTGAGTCCTTTAGCTATTTACGAGAAATTCTGAGTGACAAATATAAAGCTAGACTAATAGCAAGGAGGTTCACCCAGAAGGAAGGCATAGACTACCAAAACACCTTCCGACCTATTGCAAAACTTGAGTCCATTAGGATAATCCTCTCTAACACTGCGCATTTGGATCTTGAGCTCTAATAGACGGATGTCAAGACGGCATTCCTTAATGGAGAGTTCGAAGGGAGATTTATATAAAACAACCTGGTGCATTTGAAATATCAACTCTTTAAGTCCCTCTATGGCTTAAAACTAGTATAGAAAGGGTGGTTTATAAAATTCCATTTTAAGCCCAATGAGGATGATTATTGTGCGCTTCTGTAGGAGTGATATAGTATTCTTAACATTATATGCGGATGAAATTCTAATTGTCAGTAACTGGCTAGGACTGATTAAAGAGACAAACCATATTCTGTCAGATATGAAAATTCAGGGAGAGGCCTCATACGTGCTAGGAATCAAAATTATCAGAAACAGATTGGCCAGACTGCTTCACTTGTCACAGGCAACCTATTGCAAGAAAGTAATGGAAAGGTTTCAGATAATTGGCTGCAAACCTATTAACACACGTGGATAAGAGAGATGAAGGTCTCTCAAAGATGATGACGAAAGAGCATATATGGAGAGTGCCCTACATTTGTGTCAGTGTGTCTCTGTGTGTGTGTGTGCGTGTGTTCACATGTGTGCATGCGTGCATGTGTGTGTGCAATCCATCGAATCTAATTTACCCTTGGTAGTTCATGCTGCCAACGAATCGACGATGTTCTCCACCCCACCATGTCTTTTTGCATTCAGTTAATCTCAACTTCAATAGAATATAGATGCAATTGCAATTCAAAACTAGCCCTTGTATCCCATCATTTCTCTTTGCATTCAGTTAATCACATATTCCTTTGTAATATCAATGCATTTCTTTATAATGATTGTATATGTATAAGGATACGGTCAAAGTCTGCATTTGAATAGGCAACGCAACGGTTGAACACTTTTAAAGCAGACCTGTGAAAAGCATAACAACGACCGATGAATAGGGATTCTTATCATTCAAATTACCAATAACTTACATTTGTGCCGCTGCTTTACTTCTTTAAAAGAATGCATGATGTATTTATTCGCACATTAAATATAAACCATCACAAACATTAACCATCCGAAGGAGAAGAGGGGGCCTTCCTTCATCGTGATCATTGAGAAAAAGATGTTTGCCACTTCTCCCAGCTATCCAATGTGCAGTACGAGATGCCACTTTCTCCAATATCCAGAAGCCGCAAAGACATGGGAGCTGCAAAATTTGAAGGCCAAATCAGGGTTTGAATCATCCCAAGAAGAAACAAAAAGCATCACTGGCATTAGTTATCATGCATTTCTACATCTAAGAATGAATATAACACAAGGATATCATCTCCTCTAAGAAATTTATATAACGAAAACACAAATCAAATTTAGACGAAATAATATCATGTCGATAAGTACCATACTACTCACTGAAACCACTACTCACTGTAACCATGATCTTTTTTGCCGATGAGAAAATTTTCCAAACATGAAACTTAATGTACGTAAGATCTGGCAATGAAACAATCTCCCAAGAACCAGTATATCATTCCAGGTGTGTCCTACAAAGATGAGACTCCATCTATGCCCAGCCTGGAGACTTAACAACTCATCAGCTAGCTATAAAGCCTCACTGTGCACACTATCAACAGAATAATAGAAGCTCACTTCACCAGACATAAAATATCAATGGAAGCTTCAAAACATAATGGAGACCTCTCTAAATAATCACTGCTTGCGAATTGCGATCATAAAAGACAGAATCCTAACTGTGTACTGGATGTGAAATATCAGAAAGACCACTATTCCAAAGGAATGATGAAATTGAGAACAAGTCATTGTCATCCCTAGACCACCCATTTACCTCACTGGAAGAATCTGAATAGACTCTGGGCTAAGATGGCCTAAAATACTCAAGTCAAAGACCATAGATGTACTGCCAAAATAGATAGCTGAAGTGGTCCCTTCAATATCTCCTAGTATTGGTACAGCTCATGCAGATCTATTGTAACCCCTCCCCTAATTTAGCAGCTTTCATCACCAGACGACAAGTGTTATTACAAGTGGCCCCTAATCTTGTGATGCCTCTAGTTTCCTAAAGTAATATTCCCTAATTTTGCACTGTGGGCTTACTTAGAAATATTAGAAAGGCTTCCTGATGGGAGGGCAATAACAATCTCCATCCACTTCCTGCTTCCAGTCTCTCCTATCTGAAAACCTACCTCACTCCACTTCTCATAAATAATTAAGGGAAAATCACGTAAATACCAGTTATATTTCCCGTTATTATAAAAATACTTGAAACTTTTTTTTATTATCCAGATGTCCGTTTTTTCAACTTCATAACACTTTTTTAGAAAAAAACGAAACTAACTATTTTCAGTTTTTGAAAAACAGAATTTTTTTAATTTTCGATTTTTCAAAAACCAAATTTTACTGCTTGTAACTCAGCATGTAATAAAACAAGAAAAAAAAAAGGTATATCTACAATACAATACTTACTTCTATCACTATTATACAAATAGTGTATTGGTAAATGCATATGGTTTTCTTCGAGAGGTTTTGGTATCAAATCATGCTTGTTCCACGATGGGGCTTTTTTTTTGCTTTTTAATAAAATAAAAAACATCCATTTTTTATTGAAAAAAATTAGATTACGTATGACGGGACTTGAACCCTTGATGTGAAAGTGTAGAGGCATGCATGATAACCGAAAAGCCACGCCCACGCCCATTCCATGATGGGCCTTTTTTTTTAGAATTTTAATAAAATAAAAAACATTCATTTTTTATGGAAAAAAATTAGATTGCATATGAGGGGACTCGAACACTTGACGTGAAAGTGTAAAGGCATGATTGATAACCAAAAAGCCAATTCAACCCTAAGTTTAAATATTTGGGCATACATAATATTGATATTCAAAAAATTTGGTTTTTAAAATTCGGTTTTTCAAAAACCGAAAATGGGCAGTTTCGTCTTTTTTATAAAAAAGTGTTATAAAATTAAAAAAATAGACATCTATGTAATAACAGAAACTTTAAAGTATTTTCATAAAAACAAAACTTATAACGGATATTTACGTAATTTTCCAAATAATTAATGGTTGTCGTTGGGTTTTCAATTTCCTCGAAATGTTGCCCGTCCCTCCTCTAGCACTCTTCATATAATCACGCCAGACTGTGAAATGCTCTTATAACATCTACAACCATCAAAAGAAAGGCCTAACAGAATTTGCAACATTTTAATACGCATTTCAGACATGGATCAGGCTTCATCTTTAGTTTTCATCATGGAAACTAAGGGAAATAATCTATGAGACCCAAATTTCATCCTGTCCTCTTCCTCTTATGCTTAAGAACAATAATGGCCGTCCATGATTGGAAAACCACCCAACAAAATGTATGGAAGGTGCTGTTTAACCTTGTTCAATAATGAGGCATCTGAGTCCTCAATAATAAAAAACATTTGGAAGGGGTGACTCTCCAATTGGAGAAGGGAAGACACTGCTCACTAAGCTGTCGTCACCAACAAGACGAACAAGGATGCAAACATAGCTGCCTATACCAGTCAGCTAGCCTGCCTAGCCATATAAGAGGAGAAGCACAAAAAATGGATTAATGGGTGCTGACAAGTCCTAAACGAGCAGCAAACTAGGACACTAGTAAATTTTTTCTTTCTTTTTTTTTTTTTGATAAGTAAAAAGTAAATGGGGCATTATTAACTAAAATTGCAGAGGATAAGAAAATAACATGATAATGTGGCAGAAGAGTCAACATCAGATGCAAAGAAAAACTCAACACTCAACAGATGTTTCTAGTAGACAATTCCTGTCCTGCATGCATGGGTGGACCTGGCTGGTACCTTAACTTGAATCATAGAAAGAATGTAACTGATATTTGCAATGATCTAGTCAAACATTTTATGATAAGTTACAAATGAAGGCAAAAACAAGTATCATATGAACTATTGGCTCCATTCGAAACCGAAGCTTTGGTACAGATAAATGAAGAAATGCATGTTTACAATCTTGCCACTATTTTTCATTGTCTCATTACTTCATATATATGGACTATAATCCACATAGATGTAAAAATGGTAGCTTAATCCACATAAATGTAAAAATGGCAGCTTACATACAATTAACATGAAGACCAAATGGTAGCTGATATATCACTATCATGAAAAGCAACCTTCCTCACAAGGCTATCAACTAAAAGGGTTCAAGGAATCGAGGAAAATTGGATGAAAAAAAATCGAACTTTCAGAGAAACTATAACAGATAAAAATGAAGATCATCAGATCCATCTCAAAATCTCCAATGATAAGCTGGTATAATAAAATATACTGCTTCACATGTAAATTACCTGCCTATGAACCAAGGTGAGGTGTTGCAAAGGTTACAAAATTCAATGAAGATCATCACACCCATCTCAAAATACCCAATGATAAGCAGGTATAACAAAGCAAATGAAATATACAGCGTCACATGTAAATTACCTGCCTATGTCCCCTTGAACCAAGGTGAGGTGTTGCAAAGGTTATAAAATTCATTGGCTCTAAACCAGCAATTTTTACTTCTGAAACCTTCTCACGGTTTTGATCTTTGCTTTCACCATCAATGTAATCTGCATTTTCAGATGTATTCTTCTCATAAAGCCTCCCAATAGCAAATCTTGCCACCAAGCCCCCTAGTGAATGAGCCACAAAAGAGATCTTTTGCAGCCCTGGCCAACGATTAATAACTGTCTTCACCTGAAAAGTACAAATGTTTTCTCATTCCTTTACCATATCCCAAGTTCCACTTTTACCCCAAAAAAAATAACCCACATTCCACAATCCTTTTAGATAACCAAAATTGTTTTGCTTCTTAAATCAGCCAATGTGCAAGAAATTTGATTCAGATTGGAGAAGGCGCACAAAGAGAATAGAATTCATATTATGTACATTTTAATATAGATACAAAAAATTCAAGGAGCTATCATAGGGATACAGGATATTGATAATTTGCTATATACCTCTGCTGCTAAACGCTCTCCCAGCGCATCAACTCCATCAAAAGTCAAGGTCGAAGAATTGCATTCACTGCCTGCATGAAATGCAAATCACATGAGTTTTATTGAAGAAGAGCATTCTGTTAGAAACATGACGCATTATGAAAAAGTTGCATCAAATAATTTTTTTTATCTTGGATTATTGTTAAAAATCACACATCGAATACATTGCAAGAACTTCAAATGTTAATTGTAATACCGTACACTCTTATCTATCGGTAAATAGAGTATCAAGAGAAAAATGTGCTCGAGCTACCTTGCAATGTTCGCCTCACTCCAGTCGAAGAGGTTGTATTCTTCATCTTCAGAATTGAGAGACCAAATTGAATCATGGGATGAAACACTTCAGCTATTTTTGGGTTCTTCAGACCAAGTTTAAAGCATATTCTAGGAAAGAGCCTGATGCCTATTGGTGATTTTACTCTCTTATGGCCAATTTGACTAGGATCATTAGGGCAAAAGTTTGCTCTCCCAAAATTCCAATTCCAATGAAGCCAGCCAGCCTATCCTAGTGATCTTGAGTAGAAATTCTGTATAATAAATATCTCAAAGCTGTTTCCATTAGTCTCTATTATTAAAGCATATCACTTAGAATGTATTAGAGATTTCGATATTTTTTTCACAACGTAAAGGTGAGAATCTCAAAACACATTGCTCTGTTTTAATTTTTCAGTAAAGCTCCACCTATATTTCCTCATTTACCCGTTAACAGTTCACCAGTATAATCTGAGCAAGAAGACCTCTGAACTTTTTTTCTTTTTTTGTATCGGTACAAAAACCACCAAGCTTTCCAAAGAAAAACATAGATAATGTTCACCTCATTACAAAGAAAAATGCATAGTATACTAGTATAAACCACAGAAAATGTACACGACAAAAAATGAATTATGAGACTAAGAGAGAGAAGAATATTTGGAACATAATACTTACAGTGCACAATGACATCGTCGAGAAACCTCCTAACAAATTGTTTTGCAGCAAATTTCCAATTGGCAGCACTATCCATGACCAAATCAAGAAGATAAGAATGCATGAAGAAAGAAAAAGACGACTTGCATCAGATGATACATAGGAATTTAAATGTTAGTGAAATAAAATTGATTTTGTTATCAACTATATAATGCCTGAGAATAAGCAAACCCAACAATATTGAATCAGAAAACTCATTCACTCTATATGAAGCATTCTAGCAAATGGAAAACAGGGGATAACAAAGCTTAATTTAGTATAGTGTGAATACTGCAACGTCCAATATACTACAGTTTGTGACTAGAATCCTTTTTTTTAAAATAAGATAACTAGAATCTACTTGATTCTATTACAGACTAAGAATAAAACACAGCAAGGGAAGACACGACCATGGAAAACAAGAATGCTCAATTCATCAGAAAATTGCAAATAATATGTGGATCTTAGACCTCCATCACACAACTCAAAAGGTAAAACCACCCCAACTAAAGAATAAACCTTAAAAATAACTGTAGTTTAAAATTCAAATGTCGCAAATTTTGGCAGAAAAAATCAACCAAAACATCAAGGGAAACGTTTATATAAGGTTGCAACCTTAAAATGTAGAATTAAAGATGCACCTCAAAAATCCATCAGAAAAGGTTGTTTTAGTGTTGAAAAATCCTCTAATTGATCATCTCGTTGAGATGTATGAATATAAATAAATAAATAAATAACTGAGTATCAGAAATAGTGCATCTTGAAACATATTATTTGGACCATTCATTTTCAAGATTTTCATATGGTTATAGATCTACTTGATTTTAACTATTTTTGAAGTTTAAAATTTTATAATTAGACATTAAAATAGATTTTCAGATTATCCTAGACATTTTTTACTCCAAAATTAAATGTTATGATAAAATTGGAGGTGGGTTGTTGACGGTTGCAACCTTATAGAAACCAAACCCAAACATAAATGAGGTTTAAATCGTATCATCCAAACAATGATTAAAATTTTGCAACTGAATCAGAACAAATTTTGATCTTACATTTTTAAATTTGTCGAAAAAACTTGAATATGTCCTTAAAGAAACGGGAGTCTAAAATGGATTAATCTACTCTAATTACATTTTGTATGCCAAAAAGGTGAAATCTGCTTCTGAAAAAGAAAAAAAAAAGTTAGTTTGGTGAGTTTCGCATGCCCTTCCAAAATCATAAACTTCAACGTTCAGACAAATATCACAAAACAACAAAGCCAACACTTCAGTTACAAACGAGTCGTTAATAACAAACAATAAAATGAAAACAAAAACGAGCAAACGGGAAAAGCCTCTCCTGCCCTCCCTCAGAGCTAGAGAGCGAGACTTCTGCCTCTTGATTCTGTCCTCAATAACAAGCAATATCTGAAAATTGATATCCGATAAATCCATTCTACAAGATATAGAGAAGAATGAAGAATGAAGAATGAAGAACGAAAATCTAGAGAGTGACCTCTGCCTCTTGACTCTTGACATTGGTGATAGGGAAAAGATTTCCCCTGGGTGTATTTGAAAATACCACAGAGATTAACAGACACTTCATGGAACTGCTTGATTGAAAAAATGACAAACATACCACTCTCTTTCTATCTCTTGCTCTCTAAAATGGAAACCATATTTATTTTAAATTATGGACAGGAATGAGGCTTTCACCTGCCTATGATGCCATTGACCATGACAATGAGGCGCGCCGGACTCTTACTAGGATTGCCGGATTCCGGCAACCCATTTGGTTGGATTTCTACTCCGTCAGTATCGATCGTAGTCGATGAGAAGCAATCAAACCCTGAACCTAATATCCTCTTTTTTCTCCTGTTTGATGCAGAAGATGGCTTCTTGGGCGGTTTCTGGTCCCCCATATCAGCAATTGCTCGATACAGAAACAATATTACAAGTTTTTTGGTGGCGGTTTTTGGAGAGTAACAAGTTATTTGGGGTGATTTAGAGAGAGAGAAAGGATCAAAAGTATTGGAGGGGCAGTTTTTAGGAAGAGACAGAGGAAGAAAAAGTATCAGAAAGGTGGATATCATATAGAGATATAAAAAGAGAATATTACAAGCTTGAGATGCGATTTTGTAGGAGGAGGGTGATTTTCAGAGAAAGAAAGAGAGGAATCACCAGTGTTTGCGAGGTGGTTTTTGGAGGGGCAGGTGGCTGCCGCCTCCCTGCTGCTTTTTTTTTTCTCGACAACGTTCTCCGCCACCTTACAAGGAAATACCCCTTCTTAATCTGCTTATTACCTGAAATCGTCCCATGAAATTTAAAATACCAAAAAAAAAAAAGGAGACAGCGTGAGCTGCACACGTACCTTATCGTTTTTACGGGTTGGCTATGGGTCTCTCTGGCTCGACCCGGACCACGACCTGGATCGGAATAGTATTTGGGTCCAAAATTTGAACCCATATCCAAACCATCGGCTCCCGGATCTACCCATCATGGCCTGAGTTTGTTCGGATCCATTGCCACCCTATGACTGTGAGCTTTTTTTTTTTTTTTTTTTTTTATCTTTTTTTTTCCATCATATATGAACTTATTCTTTTTCTGCCAATACGGTAAATTGTTGTCAATATTGTGACAATATAAACACCTAGCATGATTCTAAAGACATCATCATATACCCTATGACTACAAGTACGAGTCGGGTTCGGTTGGATCATGACGAACCCGAATAATATTCGGATACAAAATTTAGACCTATACCCGAACTCGACTTTGGGTCAACCTGTTGGTCCCGGGTCTACTAGGGTCCATTGCCACCCTAATAGCTTTGAGCGGGCTCGAAATCGCCTTTGTTCCATCATCCTTCTAAGTTTTCTTAAGAAATTTCTGATTTATTAGAAAATGAAAACCATAAGCTAGGCAAAAACAGGGGGCGTATACCCTCCCATTTTTTAGCTGACTCGAGCGGTTTTAAGTGGGTTCAATGGCGCCCTCGACCACTGTTTCACAAGGTTTTTATATGATCAGATTGATGGATCATGGTATACATTTTTTCCTGAAGTTCATGCTACATATTTTAAGATAAATATGTCAAAATGCACCAAACGTATAAATTTTACCTATATATTTTAATTTCAAAATATCCATAAAAATCAATAGGATAGTACAAAAAGTGTATTTTCTTTACAAATAAAAGTGCAAAATATTTAAGGACAGTTGCCATGCCGGCATATATGTACATGAACTTTTTTCAATATTAAATAGTAGAAAAAATAAAGCATATTTTTATAAGAGCCATGATGACCCTCTCATACCTATCTGTATAATACCCCGAATGATCACTATTAAATTTAGTATAGATATCTAGAAAAGTTATCACATAGGTGTGGGATTTGATTTTGTTAGAGATCTATGTCAAATTTAATTGTGATTTTTTGAGTTTTCAAGGAATCACCATTAAATTTTGACACGGATCTTTAAAAAAGTTATCACATGAGTGTGGGACTTGGGTTAACAAGTTTATTGATAACTTTTTTAGAGATCTGTATCAAAATTTAATGGTAATCTTTTAGAAGCCTACTCATATGGGTATGGAAGGGTCTCATAATATCATTACTCTTCATATAATCTTAATAATATTTTACACTAAAATTACATGTTATGATAAATTTTGGAAGTACACTTGAATTGCATTGTTTAAGGTTGCAACCTTATTGAAACCCACCCTCCCTACTTTTAATACCTAATAATTGCTTTCATAAGCCATTTGTATTCCACCTAGGTCAAAGCTATGTTCTTTTTTTTCTTTTTCTTTTTCTGGTGGATCAAACCCCAAAACCCCTACATCTTCACCGCTAATCTTTAAATTAGACCGTGATGACATACATGACCGCGTATATTAAAATACGTCCTTTTCATGTATACTAAAATGGAAAAGTTGGGGTATTATGAGGACCCATGGAAGTAGCTTTCAAAAGACAAGATTTCACTTGCACTTTTTGTACGACAAAGTTGGAGAGGTAAAGCAACTCAGTGGTCGCCATTGCTGTATCTAGTAGTTTAAAAAACTTATCAGTCCCCCGGATCGGGCACGATCCATCCGAACGGATAAATCAGTATTTTTGGATTGGGAATTTGGTAGAATCAGTAATTTTTTTTTCAATTTTTTTTTAAAAAATCGCAATAAATTTTTAAAAATAATGTTATTTTAATTTCTAAAATAATGTAAGAGTTGTGCATTATGTATTTTCACTACTTTGTAAAAATAGCTGACTATTGAGACGTTGTTTTTCTATCTGGATGTCTGTATAATTAAAATAAATAAATTAATAAATAAAATATAAGATTTGGTTATCATTGTAATTAGTATAATTATTAATTACAATTTTATAATAAACATGATTCAAAAAACAAGGGTACGACCCTCACAAATAAATATATCTAATATGTAACAATTAGAGTGGATAGAAATATAGAATTTAGAAATATAAATTTACAATAATATTTTAATAAAATTAAAAATTAAATAAATAAATACATACTTGTAATGTGAGGTAACTAGTTACAAACATTTCCATATTATAAGATTAAAAAAATTAATTTCCCACATAAATTACTATCACATTAAAGTATCAAACATTTATTAATTTGTTTTATTTATCCAAAATTATTACAACTTAACTAACTATAATAATATATATTGAAATTGAAGTTGTTAGTTTATAACTTTATATTTTATAATTATTTTACTGTATAAATAAAAATATAAAATGTCTTATAATATCATCTAATTTAAAAAATCTTATTTACAATTATAAAAAAAATAATACATTATAAAATTTATAATATAAATAAATTAATAAATAATATACAAGATTTGGTTATTAATAAATTAAAAAATTTAAATTAACAATGTGGTATAATTGATAAAGCAACTTGAAATAAATTCTAAAGTCGTATGAGTTGGTGTCATTTTTCTCTCTTATAATATCCTCTAAACTATTTTTTTTTTAATATCCAATAGGCTAGAATTGATATTTTTTTTTCTTTTTTTAATATATACTATGAGCTAGTACTAATTTTTTAATCATAATTGACTAATTAATTAATTATTACTCATATAATTAAATAATCCCATGATATCGTAGCTTAATAGAGTTTTTACGTTTTTTTTTGTCAGTAGATTTAAAAAAAAATTTATGAAAGATAGGGGTGATGGGCACCCAATTATTATTTTTAATTATTTTTTTATTTTTTTATCATCAAATTTAATTGGCATAATTGGACAGACCACCTTCTTATTCATGACGAGCACATAATATGGCACGTACACCATCTCATTGCAATTTATCCCAAGCTAACAATATTTGCCAGCTTTCGACGGGCTAGTTTTTCAACTCACATGAATATTCCCCATCGAAGCGATGTGGGAAGAAATAGTGTTATAAAACAACCCAACTATCCTAATTGATTCAATGTTGTCTTGGCCACGTGTATGGTAATGCACGCTGAAGGTTATTGTTTGCCCACGTGCATGTGGGGTTGGACGTTATACACGCATGTGGGGTTGGTCCACGTTGACCCATGCTGACATAAGCAGGTTACCAGCTGAGGGACGTTGATTTAGCAGGTTTTGGGTCTTTAATTGTAATGATTCGAACGGTTCAGTGTACAGAACCACTGACTCGGGCGGTTCTCTTTACAAAATCGCCATTACCTTTTTAGAATCGGACGATTTGGGTCTTTAATTGTAATGATTCAAACACTTCAGTGTACTTTAAAGAATCATTGATACCTTTCTAGAATCAGATGATTTGGGTCTTTAATTGTAATGATTCGAACGGTTCAGTGTATAGAACCGCTGACTCGGGCGGTTCTCTTTACAGAATCGCCGATACCTTTCTAGAATAGGACAATTTAACGTGTTTTACTGGAATCGACATGGGATGGCCGATTCTCGTGTCGACTCAGGTGAGTCCACTGCGACTCACCGTTTTTTAAAACACTGGTTGTATCCATAAGTCATTTTAGCCGAAAGAGATAGAAAGGTGGAAGTATCTATGCATTTACTTTCTCAGTAAAACTTAGTGTAGGGATAATTTTAGGACCTCAAATTTTAGCAATGTAACCTCTTCAACCATACAAGTGAAAATAATTTCCGAATTGAAATTTATGTACTAGAAATAAAATAAAATCTCAAGATTGAACATAGACTATCCAATTTTGAAATGCGAGATCTAAGTATCAAATTTTCAATTTTCAATTTTCAATTTTTTTTTTTTAAATAATCATCTAGCGATCTTTAGGTGATTCGCAAACTTTTAGACTGAAAACATTCTCCCAAGTAGGTCTTTTGAGTGAGGGAGTAGATACCCAGTATTACTCCCATTAGAGCATAGTATATGCGCTCATCTTTTTATTTGATAATGTATCCCTTTGATACATAGTTCTAATGTCGCACTTATTAATGAAAAATGGGTAAGGGGCCTTCTCCCCCATTGACTTACCCAAACGAAAAAAAATAAAAATTTTTGATGTCACCACTTGACGAGTTATCATGGAAAGGGCAGCAACATTGAAACAACATTCATTGATGGGTTTTTTTAAGGCCTGAAGAAGTGGCTTCTAAATAGTAGCCTCTACTCCAATGTAACAAACGCAAGCGTGCTAAAGCTCATGGAAGATGCGGCTTCCACAAAATAACCTAGTGCAGGGAGGAAGGTGAAAGAAAATAAACAACCAGAAGAATAGAAATAAAAATTAAATGGATGAGAGATAATACTATTATTATTCTACTTTTTTTTCTAATCTAATAGTTATATGTTTACAAAAAAAGAAAACCCTAAAACTTAACTTGTTCTCAATAAACATTAATTAAACATCAACCCTTCACCTTAAAATAAAAATAAAGTTTCAATTTTACCCCTCAATTCTCAGTAATTAAAACGATACAAATACCACAAAAACTAGAAATCCAAAATGATCCCAAACCTAAAATCTAGAAAATAGTCAAACAAAAAAATAAAAACTGATTACATCATTATCCTGGGGTTAGGAGAAGCTCAACCTCGAGCTTATTATGTTCATCGCATTCTTTAAAAGCCAATTGGTGACGTAGTCACATCATTTGCCTAGATAATTTATTTCTTTAATGAACAAATTAATGATGCAACTTGTAGCAGAACTTTGAGATGTCAAACATTGTTTTAATATCTCTTTTGAACTCTAGATGAACCTTTACAAGACCGAACTTGATATTGAGA